TTTCTAGAGGATGACTTTTTGTATCATAGAAACTTCCGAGTTCAGCAGATTGACAGCCTGATTACTATCATTGTAAGTATCGTTCTTCCTGAGTAAATTTCAGAACGCCCTGTGTGTGAATGATGCTGTTCTATAGTTTTTTTATTTTTTAATGCATTTTTTTCCTTAATAGTAAAAGCAGATATACATTCAGTAGGCCACTAAACAGGCCACTTCGGTCACTATAAACTTTAAGGTAAGTCATGTATTAGCTGGAATGGCTTCCCAATACCTAACTCAGTTCGTGAAAATTTATTTTATCATTTTTCCTTTTGATTGCAAATCTCTTGGTAGGTCAGATTTGTCCCTCAGTGCCAGGGCGATTGCTGCCTGGCATCCATCATGTCCCTTGGTGCCAGGCCTCCTTTTTGTTTATAAATAGTGGCCTAGTTGTCCCTCTTGGGGGACAACTCATCAGATACAGTGAACAAGCTAGAGGTATGTTAATAGGTAAATGTTTTATATGCTATATGTTGTATCAGTTATACTGAATTGTCACACAGACATCATACATGTCTTTTTAGCAGTAGATGTAAAGCAAGCAATGATATTTGTTGTTACGTCACACAGTAGTTATACTCTATGACGATTTCACTGGATAATTTCCTTTAGTTTTGTTGTGCGTGCACTAGTTAAGAGTACTTGATAAGGCTGCTGGGAATCTAGAGTCTTCCATTTTTAGAGGAATCAGGTAGAGACAAAAGATTAATGTCTCAATCCTACCCTCAAAGGTATAATTTACCAAGTTGGTGTAGGTTATAATTAGCTTAAGGGGAAAGGTATCCTTATATCTGGAAAACAGATTAAAAGCCAACAATATTTCTTTGGGAAAGATCCCCAGTGAGCTCCTTACTTGCCGCAAGTAATAACTCCTTCCTTCTGCTCTTTGGCTTGGTTGCATCTTTTGACTCAACATCCACACAGAGGCAAACCCAGCTTTTGGGTAACAGGCGCAGCTGGGCCACAGTACGAGCGGACACAGCTAGGTCTAATGGGAGTGTGTTGCTGACAGTGTCTCCATCTTGTCACTTACTCTTTGATCCTACCATGTCTTCTCTGTTCTTTAAGAAGGGACCTGTGCCTCGCTCTGTCACCACTGGCCTGGCTAGGAGTGGGCCCAGCAGAGGAGACCCCTGCTTGCTCCTCACGAGCCACCCCCCTCACTGCCTCTGCCCTCTGCAGTTGCCAGCACCTCCCCATCACAAACATATCGCCATTGGCCTCTCCTCACTGTCTTCGAGCACTGCCTCTTTCTGCCCAGTTTCTTTTTGGATACGTTTCTCTTGGTACCTTTGACTTTTTTCACCCCTGGGCCTTCCCTACCCCAGGGGGGTTGCCTCATGTTCACAGTAAGAAGAGGCAGAAATCCATGCACCCGCTACCCCTGATCATCGCAGCAGCTTGGTCTTGTTCCAATCAGGAAAATGTTTCTTCCTATTACGTTTTGTTTGTTTTTATTGAATTATAGTTGATTTACAATGTTGTGTTATTTTCTGGTGTATAGCAAAGTGGTTCAGCTATATATATATATATGAATATATAGACTGAACTGAACTTTTCCATCATAGGTTATTACAAAATATTGAATATAGTTCCCTGTGCTATACTGTAGGACCTTGTTATTTATCTGTTTTATATACAGTAGTGTGTGTCTGCTAATCCTAAACTCCCGTCCCTCCCCTGCTTTCCCCTTTGGTAACCACAGATTTGTTTTCTGTGTTTGTGAGTCTGTTTTGTAAAGAAGTTAATTTTTCTGATATATTTTTTGAACCAAATAGTTTATATACAGAAGCCCAAAGCTATAGTGGAAGTGATTTTATATCTAATTACTTAAAGTTACAAATTAACCCCATTAGCAGTTTTTTGAACCAAATATTTCTTAATGAGACACTGACCTTTTTTAGAAGATTAAAATTTTAAATACATTTGAATGGAAATTAATAGTTTTCAAATGATATGGTCTCCTCAAGACTTTGTATCTATTAAATAGAAAGTTGATATTTTGTTTTCTTTACTTCACTGTCTGTCTCTTTTGTGACCTTCAGCAAGATATAATAAAAAATAACACTTGATTTTGAGTCTTTAGCACAGATCTGATCCTGGCTGCCACTTAGGAGTTAGCGTGACTTTTCACAAATCCCCAACCTCTTCTCTCAATGTAAAAATGGGCCAAATAACATATTCCCAGGTGTGTTGGACTTCCTAGGTGGCAAAGAACCTGCCTGCCAATGCAAGAGATACAAGAAATGCAGGTTAGATGCCTGAGTCAGCAAGATCCCCTGGATGAGGGCATGGCAACCCACTCCAGTATTCTTGCCTGGAGAATCCCATGGACAGAGGAGCCTGGTGGGATATAGTCCATGGAGTCACAGAGAGTCAGCCATGACTGCAGGGATTTAGCATGCACACACATCCAGGTGTGTTAGAGAGATTTGAGAGGGTCAGAGGTGTGAGAGCTCTGCCACCGAGCAGAGCCAGGTGGTCTGCGGTGTCAAGCCACTTCCTGTCCTACCTGGTACCAGAAAGCAGGTCTTGAGGTAGACCATATTTTCTCCTTTCTAACTAGGTTTTTTTTTCCCCAGCCGGATACCTTCAGTGGATATTGGCACGCTGTTTAACCCAACATCCTAAATAGCAGTGTCCTAGAGTGTATGCAGGAAGCTTGCCGCCTGCAGAAAGAGAGTGACCCAAATCCTGTGATGAAATGAATGGCAGAGGAAGGCCATGATTCTTCTCTGAAGGGTTCTGTTTACGAAGCTCCTCGTGGCTTTTTTGCTTTTTCCATGAAAAACTCTTTGTCCTTTTGTCTTCTGCCACTGGCCCTAGTTACAAACGGGGCGTTGATGTGAATCCAGTTTCCAAATTGGAAATTAATGAGGTGTCCCATCCAGAGAGGCCTTCCTCCTGTTCTGTAAGGCACGCTGGCCCCAGGAACCGACACCCCCACCCCGGCCAGGTCTCTGCTTTCCTGTTGACCTTCACTGGGTGAGGGGGTCGTGGGCATCCTTGCCGCTCCACCACAGTGTGGTTTCTTGGCCTGAGAGTTTTTTAAGTCTGGGTGTCAGGTGTGACTTCCAGAATCAATGGGTTGTTTTTAAACTGCCTGACCATCTCTGGGCCAGGAAGTTCTTACTGGCTCTTCAGAGCTTCTACTTCAGCCGTTCGTATGTTCAAAAAGAAGGTGCAGATTTTCTGGAATGGAGGCATTAAGGGAGGGGAGGCCCAAGTAAGGTGACGGAGTTGTGGGAAGCTTCTCATCAGTGCCAAGTCCCAGGTTTGCTGGTGTTTGTGTTGTCATTGACAGATAAGGAGACAAACCGAAGAGGCAGTGAGGCCAGTGAGGAGGAAGAGGCAGCTCAGACTGAGCAGTGCCACCCTGTGAATGGCTAGCAAGTTTTGATCAGGAGTGGGGGACTTCAGGTTTTGCCAAGTTACAGTGAATATGTTTTAAGAACTCCCCAGGATTCAAAGTGGCCCCTGGTCAGGGCCCAGCACTACAGAAGAGGGTTCAGAGGGAGCCACTGAGCTGTTTAGACCCAGGATACATGGACGTCGGGGTGGTAGAGTATCTAGGAACCTCGTGGAACTTACCTCAAAAGTTTGTCCATAAATACTTCAAGGGAGAGGGCCTGGAGCTGTCACTAGCTTTTTAAAGTAGTTCTTGACTCACCAGTTTACGTGAAAATAGATGCCTAGTCAGGGTGATCTGAGTTTCTCCACCCTGTGTGCAGTGGTGACCCTGGGTATATATGTAAGGCTTTCCTGTGTCTTCTAGGAAAGGGGGACAAAGATCCCAAGAGGCCAGATACCCTCTGACCCAGATGTCTGAGGGAGTGTGTGAAAAAAGAGCAGTGGAACTGAATGAAAAGGGACATTTCCCCAAGCTAAAGACAGACTGTCCAGCAAAATGTTGACACACCGGAGGAGGAGGATTGACTGACTGGGTTTGGAATGAGTTGTAGAAAAGGAAACAAGCTGAGTCTCCAGGGGAAATCTTTGCGACCACAAGAATGAAGAGGTCATGGCCCCGTCATCCTAGAGGAGGTTGGAGCAGCTCCATGAGTGGGAAGTTTTCAGGAAATATGGCTGTGACGGAAGGACAAGCATGGGCTGACCTTGAAAGGGGCTCTTCTGGGGACCTGCACACACTGCTTCCCCCAGGACTGCTGGACAGTTGCTGTAATTGCCCCTACAATTTCTCCTGCATTCAGTGCATGCACTCGTACACACACACACACACACACACACAATCCCTGGGGTTGCCTCTACAATTTCTCCTGCGTTCAGCACACACACACAGACACACATCTCCTGAGAACCAAAGTCAGGACCTGCTTGCCACAGCAGAAGAGTCATCAGCATAATATTTTATAGAGTTGCTTGTATTTTGAGATGAGAGTAGTTTTTGAAATAATTTAGAAAGTATATTTTGAGGGTTTCCTTTTTTTTTTTTTTAAGAACATTAAAGTCTGATATTTCAGATCCAAGACTCTTGATAATAAGGCTCTTTGCACTAAACCAAAGAAAAATGTGAGTGGTTTCTTTGTTCACTTCCCCATGCTTCATGGCTGCCATTTTAAAGAGTAGTGGTTCTTCCTTCAAGGGAAGGACGGGGTGTCAGAGGGTTCTCTCTAGCTCTTCAGGTAGGAGCTGTGTGCCCTTGAATTCTCGTGGTATGGACAGCTGTGGGCTGGGCCCTCCCGGCTCCCCACCGGGGTACACCTAGTAACCCTTCGGACAGGTGTTTTCAGGAAGCCTTGTCTCTGGAGTTGCGACTGGAATGGTTTAGCTGGTAAAGGGGGAAGAGGGCAGGGGGTGCTCAGTCAAAAAAAAAAAAAAGCTGGTGCTCGTCCCTCCTCGTTTCCTCAGTCTCTGTAGAATGTGTACAGATGAATGGCTGCATGAACGAAAAACCTGAAGGGAAAAAAAAATTCTCCCTCACAATCCATCTGTCTCTGCAGATCCTCGCTGAATGGTTTGGCCGGACCATCATCCGCTCCTGCGCCAAATTGAGCTACGAGCACGCGCAGAGCATGATTGAAAGCCCGACCAGGAGAATCCCGGAGAGGGAGCTGCCTGCCATCTCCCCCGAGCACACGTGTGACGAGGTGCACCGGGCTGTCTTGAACCTCCACGGAATCGCGAAGGAGTTACGCAAACAGCGGTTTGCGGACGGCGCACTGCGTCTGGATCAGGTCAGTCGCTTCCGCTTTTCAACGTTGCCCACAGACCTGACTTCCGCCAAAGCCCAGTGTGTGCGAGATTCAGCGTGGCAGGCCTGGGGCGTGTCCCTCCGTCCTTTCCCCAGTCTCTGCCCTCAGACAGTGTCCTCTGAGGCAGGCGGGAGCTGCCTCCCTCATGACCCCGCAGATACCCGGGGCCTCATGACGTGAGCCCGCCGGTCCTGTGACAGAAGCCTCTTCCCTCAGCCCAACTCTGGCATTCCCCGGAGTATGCCCACCCTCTTACTTATTTCTCTTAACACAGTCCCTCCCTGAATGAATCCCTGTATTCTTATTTTAACTTATTCGTGTCCAACTCTCTGTGACCGCATGGACTGTAGCCCACCAGGCTCCTCTGTTCATGGACAAGAATACTGAAAGTGGGTAGCCATTCTCTTCACCAGGGAATCTTCCCGACCCAGGGATCGAACCAGGGTCTTCCGCGTCTCCTGCTTTGCAGGTGGATTCTTAACCGCTGAGCCACCAGGGAAGCTCATTTCTTATTTGAGCTATCAGTTAGATGCTGAGGACACCAACATTAGTTTCTCCATCCCTGCCCTTCTTCCCCAGGCCCTATACCTGCCACCAGAACTCCTCACCTGGCGCTCGCTGTCCCTTCTGCCGGACACAGTGACCAGTGCCCACAGTGAGCTGCACACGTGGACTGTGTTCCTTCCACCTCAGCTCCTGCAGGAGAGCTGTGTGTTTCAGTGGTCAGCCTTCTTTACCCCCATCCTGCCTATGCTGGTTGTACATGTTATAATTACGCACTTTAACTGAATATTAGGTACAATGATCAAATAAGAGCATTTTAAAAAGCCGACATTCCTGTGAAAACTAAGTTAAATGGTTTGCAAACACTTGATGAAGATGAATCTTCAAAAATTGTGCTGTTTGGGAGTGATGACTATAAAAAGGAGGAGGGAAAATCATAAAATTCAGGAGGAACTTTGTACTCAGATTGCATTATAGATATCTAAGCTCTCTCTTTTAACGAAACAAAAATTATAAGTTATAGGCAATGAAGTATGCATAGTTTATCAGAAAAAAGTATGTAAAAATCCAACTAGCATACTCTTTTGTAAAAGTGAGTGTGAAGTGAAGTCGCTCAGTCGTGTCTAACTCTTTGCCACCCCATGGACTGTAGCTTACCAGGCTCCTCTGCCCATGGGATTTTCCAGGCAAGAGTACTGGAGTGGGTTGCCATTTCCTTCTCCAGAGGATCTTCCTGACCCAGGGATCAAACCCAGGTGTCCTGCATTGTAGGCAGACACTTTACCATCTGAGCCACCAGGGAAATCCTAAAAGTGAGTGGATGTGCATTTATATAAATTTGTTGTTATTGTTCAGTCACTTAGTCATGTCCAACTTTTTGTGATCCCATGGACTGCAGCACGCCAGGCTTCCCTGTCCATCACCATCTCCCGGAGCTTGCTCAAATTCATGTACATTGAGTCAGTGATGCCATACAACCAGCTCATCCTCCATCATCCTCTTCTCCTCCTGCTTTCAATCTTTCCCAGCATCAGGGCTTTTTCCAGTGAATTGGCTCTTTGAATCAGGTGGCCAAAGTGTTGAAGCTTCAGTTTCAGCATCAGTCCTTCCAGTGAATATTCAGGATTGATTTCCTTTAGGATTGACTGGTTTGATCTCCTTCCTGTCCAAGGGACTCTCAAGCATATTCTCCAGCACCACAGTTCAAAAGCATTATATAAATTAAGTTAAACAAATGTTTAGTTATGTATGATTCCCCTCTTCAGCCAGCTTCTGGAAAAGCTAACCCACTGCCACTTCAAGCACATCAAATGAGAGAGTTTCGTTACACCATTTTAGAGACCCTTCCCCATCAGATTGTTATAAAATTGGATTGAATTAAATATGTTAAATACTCTAAATACTGTAAAAAACCATCAGTGATCTCAACTTGCATTAGGAGGTGTCAGTGTAGAAGAATGATCACAGTTTCAGATTGCTACTGATCTGTTGGCATGTGTTAGAGTGAGAATTTTATTGCTGCAAATAACTTTTTTTCAATTATTTTTATTGGAGAATAGTTGATTTACAGTGTTGTGTTATTTTCTGCTGTTCAGCAAAGTGAATCAATTATACATATACATATATCCACTCTTTTAGATTCTGTTCTCATATTGTCATTACAGAGTATTGAGTAGAATTCCCTGTGCTATACAGTAGGTCCTTATTAGTTATCTATTTCGTATATAATAGTGTGTATATGTCAATCCCAGTGGAAATAATTTGAGATACTTGTATTTCATCAGCCCTCTCAACTTGTAGATTAGAAGCTGAAGTCCTCAAAGGTTAAATGAGTTTCTTATATGCAAGCAATCCAGACAGCCAACTCTTCATTCACTTTTCTTCCATTTACACCATGCTGACTTGAGAGAGAGAAGTTTCCCTTCCAAGTGGGAAGAAAACCCTGAAGTCCTAATTAGGTTCCAGTTAATTAAGGTTTGAAAATAATGGAATTGCATCCTTGGGGCTGTTTCCTTGGTTCCAGCTCAGTGGGTAAAGAACCCACCTGCCAGTGCAGGAGACACAGGAGAGGCAGGTTTGATCCCTGGGTCGGGAAGATCCCCTGGAGGGGGAAATGGCAACCCACTCCAGTATTCTTGCTGGGACAATCCCATGGTCAGAGGAGTCTGGTGGGCTACAGTCCATAAGGTCGCAAAGAGTTGGATACAACTTGACTTATGACACACCAGAAAACAAGTATCTGGACCACAGCTTTGGAAGAGGGGGCACATTGGTCTCCTGCGACAGGTTCCTGGCAAGATCATTGCTATATCAGCCAGACAACCCGTCCAGCAGTCCCTGCATTTGTTCCCCTTTGTCTGCTGCCTGCATCTGTCCTCACAGAAATCCGTTTTTCCTCAGTGCCTTCGGCACAGCCTACTGTTTGGAGTCACTCTCTGATGCTTTGTGTGCCCCAGTTCACTGTGTCCACATTTTTGGTGGCAGGTCAAAAAAATATGTCCTTCTACTGTCCTGTAAGAGGAGACAACATCTGTTTGCTGCTGCATGCCCTTGAAGGCAGAAGAAACCTGCTAAGCCAGAAATTTCCATTTTCCAAGACATGAGTTTACCCTGATGATCTCCAGAATGAGTGAGGTGGAGGACGCCAGCATGGGGCCTATTTGTTGAGTCGCGGGGAGACTGGTTCGGAGGTCACAGTAGCTACAGAAACACAGAGCAACTTGATCACTGGGTGACTGCAGGCAACAGCTTAGTCCAGAGCTGCCTGGCCCACGTCTGAGATAGTGTATCCCCCGAGCTACAGGCCACCTGGGCTGGCTCCTGTCCCTGGGACCACCTGCCTACAGTCCTGTGCACTTACCCAGTGTACGCTCAAGTATTAGCAAGTTCTGTGTGAACTGTGGTGTGAAACACACTGGGAAGCACTGCCTTTGGGTCGGATTGATGAGAGGTCCTAGCTCAGGGAAGTGACACTCCTTTGTTTCTCTGCCCCAAAGGTCAGATCAGGGGCTGAGTGCATTCTATTTGCTTTTTGGTTGGTTGAGTTGAAAAATAGACCGTGTTTTCTGCTGCCATGTTAAATCTAGAATTTAACACAGATACTTGTGTTATTTTATTTATGACAAGTGCTCAGTTGCAAAGTTGTGTCCAACTATTTGTGACCCCATAGGCTGGAGCCCACCAGGCTCCTCTGTCCATGGAAATTTCCAGGCAAGAATACTGAAATGGGTAGCCATTTCCTTCTCCAGGGGATCTTCCTGATGCAGGAATCGAACTCGCGTCTCCTCCATTGGCAGGTAGATTCTTTACCGCTGAGCCAGCAGGGAGCACACACCACTCCTGTTTCTTAATAAGTGTGCAGACTTGGTGGCCTGCCCCCTCCTGGTGTGAAAGGGACCCTGCCTGACTCCGATGTGATAGGATGACAAGGCCTCAGCTCCTTTTGGAGTTGTGGCCTGAGCCATTTCTTTCAGAAAGGTCAGCAAGGGAGGATGGTGGGGTGCCAAATAGAGCCCCCAAAGAAAGACATCTTAGGGAGTACTGACTATTTTCAGGAAACTACAGCTTTCTGGTTCTTTTCTTCCAGCCTACCCTTCCTCAGTCAGGTGAGAGTGCTTAGAGGCCACCCTGTGTGAGGGCTTCTAGAGAAGCAAGCATGACCGCAGGAGGGAAATAGCACCGCATCCGGACCCCGGCAGGCAGGCAGGGCATGTGAACATTTCCTGCTGAGCTGCTGACTTTCTGGGTTTAGAGAAAGTTGTAGTGAAGAAAATTTGATGTTTCCATCTTCTTAACATTGGAGGCAAAGTCCTCCAAACTAATGGAACCTTTACTAAATTCTCAGCTGCATCTTATATGGATCCACATAGCACAGTTTTGAAGCCCAAACTTCAAGCAGTTTCTTTGAGTGGACTTGATTGTAAAGATCAACTTGGTGGGAACAGTTTTTAAATGCCTTGGGACCCAGGCTGCTATAGAAGGTATCATGGATGACCTTGACCCCACCCAGCCTTTAAGGCAGGCTCTGCAGGCTTCCTGTAGGGAACCAGTGTAGGGAAAGAGCAAGTTAGCCAGGACGGCATGGCCAGACTCTCTTGCCTCAGAGCCTCTTGCTCTTGCCCCCCATTTTGTAAATAATGGTTACGTAACAGCTGAGATCGCTTATAGCACTGCACATGTGTGTCACGAGGTGCTCGCTTGGCCATGGGCTACTTTTGTTCTGTAAGCATATATAAGCTCCACCTGGAAAGCCCCTGTGACTATGTTAGGTTATGTTCCGGCTGCTGCATCAGCCAGGAGAAAATAAACGTGTCTGTAGTTCCTGCAGCTCCTTAAATCTTCTTCCAGCCTCTTAGCTCATGCCTTGCCTACCTTGGGTTCAGCAAACAGTGCACACAGTGAGATACAGCAAGGCAACCAGGTAGAAACAATTGTTGTCATTCAGTCACTCAGTCGTTTCCGACTCTGCAGCCCCACGG